ATGAGTAGCTGGCTTATCTTTAACATGATTAATAAAATACATATAATAGAGGAAATCAGCTCCTCACACACACTGTGTTCATTTGTCTCGACGCTCAAGATATTTTACAGTGGCTAGGAAGACTGACGGGAAAACACGTGCCCCTGAGATCTCTACATGGGCAACACGCCAACAGAAGTCTCACTAAGGAATAAGACAGTGATATCAACTAGAGTGACACCCTCTAGTATCAAATGCTTTTGCTTCAACTCCGATACATCCCACACACCCAGAAACGTCTAAATATCACTTCCCTTCGTCAGCAGAAGTCCACAGCCCCACCTATCAGGAGTCACAAATCAGACCCCATGACACTGAAACAGGTCCCTTTAATCTGATTGTTCAGACTGTTAGCATTGTGTGCCAACTTCCTACTTTCTATCTCAACTGTTTGACAGCAGTACACTATATATATATACCAAGGAGGATATATTTTTTTGGTTGTGTTTACATGTGTGAGGCTCATTCTGGTTGTAAACATAACGTTTTGAAATGTTTTTAATGCATTCTGCTAAAAGGTATGTAGTGTGGGTTCATGTTAAGAAGCTATTAAAGGTTGGCTTCCATCCACCGAAGTCTTCAAGGCCAACTTAATGATTTATTTAAAACTCACAAAAAGCCTTATAAGTGTGTTGTGTGTAACATATAGAAAGTAGTGCATAAAGATTTAAAATGTCATGTCACACTTGACCTCTGACCTCTCTTTGAGATCAACAGATCAACAGCTTTATGGAGCTATTTAAGACTGTTTCTTACTGCCAGTGTTTGTACCGACAACATAGAGGCATACAGAGAATAATGTATGGGGATTCTAAGTATCACGTTTTAGTTTTCCTTCAAATATCATGTCATATTTGATCTCTGATATCACTTTTGCATTTCATGTCTGCCTTTCTTTCAAGCAGATCCCAAAATGCTTTATTTTTTCTGGACTACAAAGATCTTAAAGTACATTTAAAAGGAGCAAGGAAAACAAAGTGAATATATATATGTACAAAAACAAATACTGTTTACTTAAAAGCAAATACTGTCCACTGAGTGAGCTGCCTTGGGAAAGGTTGGCACTCTGAGTGCTTCGTCTGGTGTAATGCCTTCGGTTTATTGCTTATTATTCTGTTAGTGTTCAGCAATAAGGATGTGCTGTCATTTTGTGTCATCATATGTGGTTGTGCTTTGAGGTTAATACTGATTCTCACTGTTGCTTTCACAACTTGCAACATTTTCATCTGCATGCTTAATGATCTGTACCCTTTTAGTCTTGTCCAAAGAAGTGAACTTTTCTGCAAAAAAACAAAGTGCGCAAGGACAAAGTGAGCTTTGCTGGAAAAGATAATAACATAAAAAAAAACAAATGTAAGTTAACTGAAGTTAAATCTTTGACGTTTTCCTTCTTAATAACAATTAAATTGAATGCGTTAAATCTGAAGACAGGAGCTTGGTAGAAATGCTTTTTAACAAAAAATGTACTGCATAACTCTGAACTCTTCACACTAAGGTTTTGCAGACATGTGACCACTAACCACATGGCGCTAACTTGATGTGTGATGTGTGTAGGATCACGTGAAGATGGCCCCAGTCATACAGGCCTAGAGACTGCTGTGTGACAATCTAGTTGCTAGGGAAAAATGTGTATTCCCCAAACAGCTGACAAAAACCTCCTGGTGATTGTGATTTAGCATTTAGGCTAACCATCCGCACATAACTAAGAAAGCCGTTTAGGTATTGGAAGCAGTCTGTGTATGTCCAAAAACGATTTGTTTAAAGATACACACAGTAATATCTCACACAAACACACTACAGAGGTATACAGTACATAACAGATAAGAGGATAGAAGGTACATACGTCTACACTGTACAGTCCAATCCAGTGCGGCGCTCCCAATCTATTGACAAGGAAAGTAAGGAAAGCCTGGTGGTAGGCATCTGTAACGCTCACAAGGTCAGAATCATGGCCTTTGCACTTATTCATCGCGTCGTACCAGCTCAGGTTGCCAGTCACAACCTTGTAGTTGCGGTTCCTGTACTCAATAATTTCTGGGAGAAGGTGGTGGTATGAGTGGGTGGGGCGTTTGGATGGATCTGTGACAAGAAAGCAGGGAGGGGTGTGGAAAGAACTCAGGGTTCAGCATGTTGGATTAGTTCATACACAGCTAATGGATCACTGATTAGCTTTGCCATCATCCATCCATCCATCCATCCATCCATCCATCCATCCATCCATCCATCCAAACCTTCAGAGCAAAAAAACAAAACCAAAGCTAAAGAACCTGAGGGAGCCTTACCTTGAGGTTTCTGACATACAAAGCCATACCCGCTCTCGCTGCACTTCTCGTCGTACCACTTCCCCGTCAGGTGGAAGTTGTGGTTGTTGGACAGGACAGTACACAGAGGCTCATCAGTATATCCTTGGAGCCACGTGTCTTCCTGAGAACATAAAGAACCACTACTAAAGAACTACTGACAATAGCACATTTATTAGCATGTGTCACCTCTGTTCACGACAAGCTCGTTTCAGGAACAGTGAATCACTACCTCCCAGTTGACTGCCCCAGAATCACCTGATTTTCTTTAATACGATAACTTTAGCATATTTAATAAAGTCAAACAAAATTTTAGACTTAAACGATGAAAATGTCACGACTTGAGCCCAAAAACTGCAATCAAATCAACTTTATTCATACTCCAAGTGTCTAAAACCAAAGTAATGAGATGAATGAATTATTCTTTTTTTGTATTCTTCTTCTGGCTCCTCCCTTTAGGGCGCGCCACAGTGGATCACCTGCCATCATCTCACTCTTTCCCCTCATCCTCCTCTATCAGACCAGCAGTCTACACGTCTTCTTTCACTACATCTATTACTCTTTTCTGTGGTTTTCCTCCTTTCCTAATGGCTGGCAGCTCCATATTCAACATCCTTTATCCGCTATCCTTCCTCTGCACATGTCCAAATCATCTGTGCCTTCCTTCAAATCTCTGATTCACTAACTGATCTCCATCCGTCATGTCTGTCTCTCATTTTCTTCATTAGCTTCTCAAAGTATTTCTCTTTGCCTGGCCAATCAATACAAGTCCTTTTCTCCTTCCTTAGTGTCCATAATGCTCGCTACAAGGCTTATTTCTTGCCGCCTCTCTTTGCTGTGTCCCTATCCTCCCAGCACTCTTGTCTACTTTCTTCATCACTATTTCTATCCTACTTTTTCTTTGCTAACATCTTCCTTTGCATAATTTTCTATACGTCTTCATTCCACCACCAAGTCCCCTTGTTTTCTTTTTATGTCTGACAGACATAAAAAGAAAGTAAAAAGAAGACAATAAAAAAAGTTATTGTACAAAAACCATCAGCTGATTCGGAGGAGGTCAGGTGGTATTTTTTGTCATATGATGACAACGTGTTGTCACAACCAGCTGCTCACCTTTTTTTTTTCTTTGAAGGGCCAATTTTTACAGCAGTGGGAGGAGCTATTTCTCCTTATCTAATATAAAATGACTAACTTGGATGTACTAAGCTCTCACAGGACAAAAAGCAAGGTACTTCCTACATATTCACACAGTCACAAGCCATATATTAAGAATATGCTAGCAGTTCTAGCAGTTAATAAAGTGAACTTCAGGTATTTTCTACAGCTTACATTGAGAGGGTTCTTTGGTTCTACTGGAGACCAGTTGGTGTAGCTGACTGGCCTCCCATTGGTCCATTTCATGGTGTCCTCATCTCGCAGCCCAATCCACACACCTACAGCGCTTCCCTGGAGAAACATGGTGATGAAGGCTACAGAAATGATGACATGACAGGAAAAAAAAAGTGGAAATAAAGCTGTTTGTCTTCTCAGGCAGTGATTGTGCAGCGAATCATTGACGCATGGTTGTGCAGTTCACTAAGACTCTACCTTGTTCAATCTCATCTTCTATGGCAACTAGCGAGCCTTGAAAAGAAGAGCAGATGGACTGGGCATCGTTCCAACTTTTTCCCTCCTTTGGACTGGTAGGGAGGTGAAGCAGGAGACACTGCCAACACACACAACCACACACACAAAACATGAATGCAAATCAGTATTCCCAGATCACTGACAGGACTGTTGTTTGGAGTGTGCACGACTCAAAGATACAGAAGTCAAAGCATGTAGGAGGGAGGAGGTAATGTAACCACAATGTTACCGGTTAACAAAAAGGGAAAGTTTCAGCAACAAGAGCTCTGCTTCTTGATTCAATTTGAGAGAAATATGGTCGCGTTACACGAGGAAATGACAGCGTCTCTGTTGTATTTTGAAAGCAGTTAAGGTTTCTCTGACTAAGGATTTCAAGCCCCATTAACTATGAACCGAGTCTCTTTGTTATTATCGTGTTTCTCTCCCTTCTAGTACTGTGCAAAAGTCTTAAGCCACCTCTCAGTTTTTCGAGGAAAGTAGGAAATAATTGCAGCAATTTTTTAAATGCACAAACATACATAGAATTATAGCATATAAGGCAAAAAAAAAAGAAGAAAGACAACAATTAGATACTTTCCAGATGGCATTAGATGTTGGATCAAACTCCAACGCTACTTTTCTGCCTTCATAATTGCATTAATTTTGACAACATTCCCAACATCCCTGTCTGAAATCCAGTCCCAAACCACAATAGAGCCTCCACCGTGTCTTACAGATGCCACCAGATGTTACAGATGTTGTACCTCTCTCCTGATCTTCTGTGTAAACACTGATGATGATTTGAACCAAAAAATCCAAATTTGGATTCACTTCATCAGTCCAGTTCTTGTGTGATCTGGTATACCTCAGCCTTTTCTCCATGTTTCCCTTCCTTAGGAAATGCTTCTTGACAGCCACCCTTCCACTGATAACATTTCCGCTGAAGCTTCACTGAAAAGTAGATGGATGAACTGAAGGGCCAGATGCATCTCTCAGATCCTGTGTCAAGTCTTTACCAGACTTTTTCCTATTGCATTTATTTCAAAATAATGGTTTCGATGACGCCAAAAAATCCAAAATTTAAACAATCATTCATTATCGATTGATATTGCTTCATGTGAGCATGTGCTGGTTCTTGTGAGGTTGATGCAGCTCGAGTGCTGTCAGCGCTGCTCTTTAACATCACAACAGTCCAGAAACAGTGAATGGAAACACAAACATCCTGCTTTAAACCCAAAGGCAGCTGGGAATTTAGAGGAAGCACAGATGGTAAAATGAGCCACTTTTGTGCAGTTTGCTCTTCGTAATAATAATGTGGTAGCAATGTCGAGTTTCACTTCATCACTTAAACCACTTTAAGCATATTTGCACTGCACAAGACACTAAATAATGTGGATTGCACAACACTGGACATTATATTCCTCATTTCCAGTTAATAATTGTACAGCTGCTGTTATTGTGTATATATATATATTTATATTTCTTCATACATTCTTATATATCTCTATACTGTGTATTGTGTATTTTGTTGTACAGTTATTTTATTTTCAACTTTAATTTATATATTTTATCTTATTCTTTCCCAGTTAAATTTACCCTTCATTCTAATTTGCGTTGTACAGTTATCTCATTTTTAACTTAATTTTTATATTTTATTTTATTTTATTCCTTCCTAGTTAAATTTACCCTTTTTAATTTTCATATTTATTTCCTATCTTATTCATAACCTCTTCTTTTCTTTTTTTCTTTAGGTCACGAGCAGTTGTCTAAGCATTTCACTGCATATCGTACTGTGTATGACTGTGTATGTGACAAATAAAATTTGAATTTGAATTTGAGTAGTGTGCAATACACAGATTGTCAACAGATGCAAACATTTAATTTCCTACACACTTAACACAGTTTATTAATAAGATATACTGTACATATTACTTAACAGTGAACAGTTACAGATTGCTGAGGTGACTGAACTGGCAGATTGCCCGGTTCCTCTGTGATTAGGGTGGTGACAGCAGGTTTGCTTTGAGAGGCAGTAACTGCCAAAGCAGATGATTTACTGAAAAGAGCGACTATTATTTCCTGCCTTTCATGTTCGCTGTAGCGGTTTTTACTCGGTGTTCGAGGGTGTTTAGGCTACTTGTGAGAAATACTTGCACACATTTGGTTTTGGTCATCCCTGCCAGCATCTGTGAGCTCTTCTAGTAAACGAAATGCATTTGTAGAGAAGTGGCCAGAACGCAGCTGCAGGTCTTTGGGAAGTTATCTTGCAAGTATTCACCTTCTAACCTTTGTAAAAAGGGGAAAGCTGTGAAAGGCCATGGGTGTCAAACATTAGGCCCCGGGGTCAGAATCGGCCAATACTCCAACCCAACCCACTGGACATCTTTGGAAAATGTGGAGGGAGGAAAGGAGGAAAAGACTTTGGACATTTAACTGTATTTTCATTAATCTATATTCAAATATAATCTATCCACAATAGAAATTTCTGGGGTGTTTTTTACAATGTGTCCACAGTACAATAAATAAATAAAATAGAAAAGTTTTGTGAATTAACAAAAACTTCCAGCTTTATAATAACAGAACAGTCTGGGCAATGAGCTACCAGAAGTTTTTTCTGTAATTTTAAATATTTATTTTAAGAATTGAAGCCCTGACAGTCATGCTGACAGATTGCTTTGGTTGCTTTTTTAAACATGTGGTTAAACTGTTGAAATTGCACTTCTTTTTCTTATACTGAGCTATTGCAGGGATTAAATATGCAGCTAAAGTTATTTATACTGACAGAAAGGGGATTTTTACTGGTCCGGCCCACTTAAGATCATAGCCCGCTGTGTGTGGTCCCTCATATAAATGGCTCTGATATCCTCGCATTAGGCAATCGCTGAGTGCAAGTTTGATTCAGTCCTGACCAGCATGAGGAGCAGCAATTGACTGTGGCATAAATTCATCTGGTGGGATAAACTAAAAATTACAATGTTGCACGTGAAGATATAATGTATTTTAGGTATGACACTGCACAAAAGTATTATAGATATATATCTGAAATTTTAGTTGCTGACAACAGCATTAATAAAAGCTCACATATGCACACATTATGAGCTGCTGCTATTAAAGATATGCCAACTTAACAAGCTTAGAAAGCTGCAGTGTCCTTGCACAAATCACCAGATTAGGAGAGTTACCACAGACTAATGCAAATGTCTCATTATCTGTATTTGAATATATGCGTGCATGTGTGTGAACAAGTGTTTATAAGGAGCTTGGAAAGAAAAGTGTCTGGACTTCAAGTTGCTTGAAGATGTTTCACCTCTCATCTGAGAAGCTTCTTCAGTTCTAAGAGTCAAATGGTGGAGAGTCCCAGGGTTTCAGCCAGGGTTTCGGGTGAGCTCATTGTGAAACCTGGCCCCACCCTATCATGTGATTTCCTTAGGTCAGATGGCTCAGGGTGTGAGTGGGCGTTAAGGCGTCTGGGAAGGGAACTCAAAACTGGATTATAGATGTCAGACAGTTGGTGTCGTAAGCCACCGCCTCTGTTCAAAGATGGTCGCTCACAGTGGACATAAATGGCTTCTTTCACTCCTCTTTCAAACCATCTGTCCTCTCTGTCCAAAATGTGAACATTGGCATCCTCAAAAGAGTGACCTTTATCCTTTAGATGCAGATGGACAGCTGAGTCTTGTCCCGTGGAGGTGGCTCTTCTATGTTGTGCCATGCGCTTGTGAAGTGGTTGTTTGGTCTCTCCAATGTGGAGGTCTGGGCATTCCTCGCTGCACTGTACAGCATACACCACGTTGTTAAGTTTGTGTTTTGGAGTTTTGTCTTTCGGGTGAACCATTTTTTTTGTCTGAGTGTGTTGCTAACACCCACTCACACCCTGGGCAATGTGACCTCAGGAAATCACATGATAGGGTGGGGCCAGATTTCACAATGAGCTCACCCGAAACCCTGGCTGATTGTGACCCACACCCGTTTTCACACCTTGGTTCATGTGATTAGGTAGAGGATCATCAGGGGGTCCTTTGTCCCTCTTTGGGGGGAAACTCCCACTGGGTTTAAATCTGGGACTCTCCACCATTTGACTCTTAGACCTGAAGAAGGTTCTCAGATGAGAGGTGAAACGTCTTCAAGCAACTTAAAGAAGTCCAGACGCTTTTCTTTCCAAGCTCCTTAGACTACGATGACCTGGATGACTGAGAACCTTCACAGACAACAAGCGTTTATCTGAACCTTGTGTCCAAAGTACAGCCATTTCTCCGGGCATCCTCCAATGTAGTGCGGTTCCCGGGGGGTCTCCACCACAGACACAGTTTCTCTCTTGCACACGTATCCATGGAGATCACTGCATCTGCTCAGTGCCCACTTCCCTGCAACGTACAGAGCAGATCTCAGCGCTGGCATAGGGTAATACACGCGAACGAGGGCAAGCGTTTCCATGTGCACGCGCTTACCTGAAGAAGAAGACATGGTGACACACGCCCTTCTTCTCCGAAGATCATCGTCAACAGCCACTTCATCAAATTTCTGAAAGTCTACTGTAGTCTTGTCACTCCACCTGCAAAGGAATAAATGAAAAAAAATATTGTTAATGAGGATTGTCACACGCCTGAGTGTTCTCACCTTAATAACCCCATTTTTCATTGGCACTAACCTCCACCTCATTACCTGTGACTGACAGGGTTTCACTGCTGCTGTTTTCATACTTAATATAATTGGCTTTAAAGCTAACATTAACAACTGCTGGCCAATAAGTAAATGCAGTCATGCTCATACAAGTGAACTGGAGTAGATTTGCCCATTACAAACTGTGCTGTGAGCCACCGGACCTCAAACGCCTGAAGCTGCAGCTGTGAGCCTCGATATCGGTCATGTTTCCATGTAAATATTGGACAAATTTTAACCCAAAATTGGAAAAAGAAAATGCAGTATTGAGGTACGAACACAGTGATTTTCTCCACGTCAAAACATCAACTTAAAGAGATGATGTTGTTACTGATGGAAACATGTTCTATATGTTACTGTCTCCTCATGAAACCACACAGATGATTTCACTGCAGCTATTCTAGTCACTTTATTAAAGTAGAGACTTAAGTGATGGACAGTGAAGATTAGCTTTAAATTTTATTCACAATTCTAATTTATTAAAGTTTGAAATATTTTGCAATTTTGTGACTTTTTCCAACTTCTGTTTAAGTTTTTTTATTTAAAAAAAATGAGCTTTTTTTCTGTCTTTCACAGAAAAAAAGCTGGTGGGGAGGGACACTTTATGTCCCTCCCCCCACTTTAAAGGCCAGTTGTTTATACTGCTTTTCCTTAGTCATGTAAGGCCCATTTCCTCTTGCTTGCTTTTACAAGTTTCACAAAATGAAACAGAACACCACACCTTCAAAGCATGCACAGGCCTTCGAAAGACCTGCATTTTATAAATCACGTCTGACATTTATAAAATAACATCAGCATTTTTTCACTCACAGTAACAGAAACAGGATACAAGCTCCAAAAAAAATCCCCACACACCTGACCTCCTGTCCAGGCGGACCAATGGACAGGCCAATCCACCAGTCAGTCGGGCCCAGCGAGAGCTGAAGAGACACAGTAAACAGAAAATAAATGACAAAGAAAACTCGCGAGCCATCCTTCACCAGGCCGGAAGATTGGCTTTTCAGAGCTCCTGACATGAGGGGCCTTTCAGGCACCCTGCTTAGTCTGTTCTTGGCCTCTTTCACTGCCTTGTTTTGTTCTCATTATCCTCTCACAAGCCTCGACGCCACAAGAGACTTCTTTAGTCCGATCCAAAAGGCTTTTTGGGAGCGCTCGAGCATTAAAGGGTCCACATATGAGGCGCATTTTAGCTTGTCTCTATGCGTCTGTAAACACTTGAGTCAGGAAATCCATTGTGTTCATGCTTGTACAATCAGTGCGTGCGTAAACTGTTTGAAGAATGGATGTAGTGGCCCATTCAATGAAGACAAACCTCTGTGATTAAGCGCATTCATTTGGCTTGTTTGTCTGGATCTCTGAAAACAAGAAAATGCCTCAAAAGGTCCTGATTTCACTGAAATCACTGCAATTAGGAAGTAGGATTACTCAGCTGGACCATTAATCCTAAGAGAATTAATAGTGTTTAACATTAGAAATCATTGAAAACACACCTTAAAGAAATATAAACCACTTTGCTCTGAGTTTCATTCATTGCTGTTTTCTTAAATTACATTTCAACTGTTTAAAAAAATCTAGCCCTGGAGCCTCCTTGTAGATTCTTCCAAAGTCAAGAGAGTGCTAGAGATGCTAGGAGCATGGTGAATGGTAGCTGTGAAATACCACATCGCTGATCTAAATATGGACAATCAGCATTCTCCATTAAGGCCTGCCATCTGTGAAATAAACTAACACCAGTCACAAATATTACATCTTTCACAGTTCAGGTCAAAGGTTAGTGCTAAAAGCACATTTAGAGCTGCATTTTTTTGTATTTCCTAACAGTTTTGCATTTTTTT